TCTTTCCAAACTACTTGTTACGAGCCACAAGATTAAGGCTTGCAAGAGAAGCTAAAAAGGTCTGGATGATTGAACTTATTTCATTCAAATCTGCTATTCCTGAGTGATCTAAGCTTTGATCTATTCTATTTTTACTTATCTGTTAATAAATTATCTACATTATTTGTTAACGAATATATTGACAAAGATACAAGAAAAATATTTTACTTGCTTGCCATATTGAAATAGCAATACTAAATAATAATTATTATAGACAATGAAAATAATCAGAACAGGACAAGGAAGGGTCCAAAAGATGGGCACCATTCAGAGGAGGGTGAGATGTCTTCACCAGATTTCATGAGTCACTTTGCCTTTCTGTGCCACATGTGTCTGTTTATAGTACATCACTAACACCATCTCCTGGCCAGTTGCTGTCTGGACTAAAATCTTTATGAAGGTCTCAGAGAGCCTGAAATGAATGGTATTGCAAACATAGAAAATACCATTGTTGCCATATCTTCTCTACATTCATATCCACTGATTTCACCTACACCCAAATAATACCATACCCACCCCCAGAATTAGATGTAGAGTCTTTTTTTTTTCTGTAGTCTTTTTTCCCAAAGGATTTCCAGGAAGATGTATCCGAATACTCTCAAATCAGCTTACATTTTCAGAACTGACTATTGATTGATGTATTTAGGTACATTTTGTTTTGGAGCCCACTGAGAAAAAAACAAAACTGATATTAAGAAAAAAGCTGTGAAAACAGATCCTTTCCTAGTATTTCAAGTTCAGCACTTTAAGGCTTACACACTTTCTGAAGCATCAATAATGTATCTTACAGCCTATTGCTGTAAAAGATTCAGTATTCCCTGCTCTTCTTATTCTCTCCTTTTTTTTTTTTTTTTTTTTTTTTGGCAGCCTTTGCCAACAGAGCCTGTCTCTGTTTCCCTGAACTGGGATCAGGGCTTTTTTTTTTTTTTTTTTTTTTTAAGATATCAAGACCATCCAGAGATGCAAAGAGTAACTCTTCAACTTCATGTGCTTTTGGTATATCCAAGCAGTCAGCAGTTTGAGGTCTATTTACTGAATTTATACAGATATTTTCAAGCATTTAAAACAAGGATTTGACATTTTCTTGATCTTTCAAAATCTTACATATCTGTAGATGCCCAGTATACATGTAAGGGCACTACCTTGGAGATTGTTTAGGGTTTATTGCTCCTATGTATCAATTGGGCCAGACAACTTTCATTTCAAAATCACTTCAGAAATGACTCACAGCTCAAGGAGCTTTGGCTTTCAAGATCATATTTCCAGAAAATAAATAATCAGAATCAGTAACTTGAATTTTTATATTTAAATTAATTCAGGAACATAAGGTCAACTTCTAATTTTAGCTAATCTTAGAATAAACAAACAACAGCAGAGCTTCCTGCGTCATTAACAGCATAATCAATCTGGAGTCTTGAGCACAGTCTGTCCTGGAGGATTGAGTACTTGGAGCTGTGGTGGGTTATGGAGGAGAACAACTCTATGAATCCTTTGGAAGGTAATCACATTATTGTATTCCTAAGGGATTTTCATAAAAGGGAACTACAGTGTCATACTTTCTGGAATAGCTTGTAGGAAATACTACATGAATGCCAGTGGTATCATAATTTCAAGCATTTTTATGACCACAATGCTCTGTTCAGCCAGCTTTGATTGAAATGATGGTTTGCTGCAGACTGAGTATTTCCTCCTATTACATTACTGGAAGCTACACCAGAAGGGAGAAACTGTCATTTTAAGAACTAGCAAATAGTACTTTTGCCCAGGATGGTTGAATTGATTTTGAATGATCAATACAACACCAGCTACAGCTCAGCAGAAGAAAACACAAAGGTGTCAGCTTTCTCAAACCTATCAGAGGGAGCCCATGAAAATCTCTGAAGAAATGTACATGGACCACAGCCACCTCTTGCATTTGGTGTTTAAGTGAATTCTACAATTAAAATTAATAATAATATAAACATTTAATAATCATTAAAATTAATGATCCAGCCAATTTAAAAAGTAAGATCTGGATTTTGTTTGGCATTGGTTGAGTCATAATGCAACAAAGAAATGAAAACTCAACTGAGTGCCTGAAACTTTTAGATCAATTGCCCTGCTCCATTCCACTTCATGAAGCTGTTACATTTCTCTTCTACTGTGAAACACGGTGAATGGAAAGAACCATCTCAGTGGATGTCATCAATAGTGTGTTGGTGCAATTTGAAGAAAACAATACCCTTTAACTGATCTGAAAATTGATCTGTTATCTGTGGGAAGTCTCAGAATGTGACCTTTTTGGAGGCTGAATGCTAAAGAATGTGTCTTGACTAAGTGAGAAGCTTTGTTTATGGCAAACCCACTGAGACACTCAACTGGTAATCAAGTCACCAAATCATTGTCAAAAAGCCATAAAGGCCAGTGGAAATGGTAAACTAACAAGCGAGGGGGAGTTTACTACTTAAGGTGGCAAAAGAGCCTCTGACATGTGAGTCCTCTGTTCCAGAAGACATGACCTGGCACTCCAAACAATCATTCCAGCTTCCCCAAAAGCTTTTCTCATTCACTGACAAACCCATCCAGAGTTTGCTTGGACACTTCCTGCTCCAAGCTCCTTATTCTTTCAGCGGCAAAGGAAAAGTAAGAGCAGGATGGGCAGCTCAAGAGCCCTACACTGAGCTTTGACATTCTGTGACTCAGTTCCATTATCTGCAAAGCAGAGATAATAGTACTAAGATTGTGATAAGCATTATTATGATCAGTTTACAAGCACAGCACCAGCTAATTAATGCAGCTAAGTTTGATACATGTAGCTCTCAGTGCCACATAACTCTTTACAACAAACAGATCCCTTTCACGGCAAAAGAGACTGTCTCCAAGGATGATGCTATCAGACTGCCAAAACTCACAAACTTTCAAAAATGAGGACAACACTGGTATAATGGATACAGTGTGCTGAGAAAAGTAGGTCTAAGATTGAACTAGCAGGATTATGTAGCTTGGGAAACCAAAACTGTGATTTTAATCAGCAGCTGCCACTGATAGAAGTGCAATGGTTTGTGTTGGATTTGAGACTGCAGCACTACAGATACTGAAAGCTTATTTCATAGGGAAAACAAATGGATCTTAACTCTTCAAAGAATATGAATTTATGGAGAGCATTTCAAGAACATGATTTTTACCAGTCCTTCATGTGTGCATTCCTATCTGGATCTCACAAAGCAGGTTTATAATTCAGCTGGATTAGACCATGGAGAACTAAGGAAGCTGGAGAAGTGCTCTGTAGCTCAGGTAAGGGTAGAGGGGTTAAAGAGGGAGCAGGAGCACTCCAGGCTCCTAGGGCAATACAGATTGCAAGTCTGAGGAAAGGTTTCCGGGCTTGGGAATGGGAGGCCTTCCAAGCTTCAAGGCAATCAAGTCCTTTACTGTAATTCAGCATTCCTCCTGCTTCTGAAATTTCTTTATCAGTTTGCCCCTTCATTTGTCTTTCTTTTGTTTTTTTCTTCCTTAACCATATTTTTTAAATGAGCAGCATACATTTAGGATCAGTTTCTGAGCAATCAGTGGAATTGGCACCGAGGGACCCCAGAGGATAAATTTGCCTTTAGTATACTTTTTATGTGTCACTGCACTGCCGTCCTGTTTTTGTCAGGTTTTCAGTAGCAAAGCATGCAGGCTGAGTGAGCAGCATTATTTATGGCCAGCACACATGGCCAGGAATGAGGCAGAAGATCAGACATCTGCTGGGGTGACATATCCCAACCCAAACGGGGAAACAGCATATTTCAGCACCCTTCCCAGCACCAGTGGGATAATGCCCAGAAAAGAGAGCATTACTGAACCAAGAAGAGATGGTCACTGTGTCAGAGCCAGCTGCCAAACTGAGAAGATTAAACTAATGAATGACACAAAGAGTTCATTCTTGCTTTGTTCTCACCTTCCTCTTAAAATCCTCCCCCACACTGAGGTGAGATCCTCACCCAAGTGCCAAGAGATCAAGACCTGTTGTTGAGATAAGCAGAACTAAAAGGTTTACAAGGTGTTGTACAGGATGGCATGATTGAGATCCAAAAAAGCACTTAGGTACCTCAGAAGCCATTCAGGCCACATTCAGGTGATTACAGAATGCTATTCCACAGCAGTAACCAGCCATTACAAAATACTTAATCCCTGTGTTCTCAGCATTAAATCCCTGCAGTTCTGCTCTGACATGTTCCAGATGGGACAGCAGCTCTGGACACAGTGGAGCCCAGCAGCCACAGCCACACCCTCTTCAAAGAACAGCTGGAGCAGACTGGTGGTCAGAGCCCTCGCCCAGGATTACAGGAGACCCAATTCTTGCTTGTTGAGATCAAAGCTATCTTTCCCCCGAAGTGCTCCAGCTTCTGCCTGGAAGCTGTCCTTGGGCACCCAGTGAGTAATTGGAGGGTGCTGGAGCAGGCTCAGGCATGTGTGCTGCTGACTTTGCAGGGCTGCTCAGGCTCCCAGGGCGAGCAAAAATGAATGCCAAGCCAAGCAGAGCAGTGTGTCTGGCTGGTCTCCACTGAGCTGCCCACACACAGACATCCAGTGTCATTTAAGATGTCCTGACTATCCTTGGCTTCCAGTTCCTGCTCCAAAAGTGCCCGAGTGTCCCAGAGGTCCTGTGTCACAGGATATCTTGGGCACCTTACAGATGTCTGTGCAGGTATCTTGGCCACCTTACAGCACTTGCTAATGCAATACATGCCTCGTTTAGACAAATTAATTAAGTACATGGCAAGTTTAGGCATCCCCAACTACAGGCAGTCCAAGGACTGAGGTCTCACATGACTGGTGTTAGTCACCAGTTCTGGTCTCGCATGACCTGTTCTACATGTCTCATACACTCATTAAATCAAGCACCACGTCTTTATTAAATCAACCTCCAAAGTCTTATCCTTCATAACTAGCTAGATCCAAGACATCCCCTAAAAAATCACAACAAATAAAGCACTTACCCACACAAAGGCTTCAAGGAAACTCAGCTGCAAACTGATGTTCTGTTCCAACAGCAGCAAACTGCAAAACAGGCAGGATTTTGCTGGAGAAGCATCCAAAGAACATTAAATGTGCTGGCAAAGCTAAACAGCAATAGAATCAGGCATTCAAATGAACATGAAATATGATTATTGACTTCAGCCACAATTTTGTGTTCAGCAAGATTTGCTGATGTAAATATCTGTTTTGAATAGCAGAATTATCAAGGCTTCTTCAGCTGAGAGACTGTCCTCTCTCACACCCTCTCTCACAGGAGTGCCTGTACCAGCAGCAGCACTGTCTCACCAAGCTCATGGCTGCAGGTGATTGCTGAAAAACTATGATTCAGTGTTGCGTAGTTACACAGCTAACACATGAGTAAGTCAAGAGCAGAAGGCTGTCTCTTCCAGTGGTCTGAACATCCATCTCTGGTTTTTATGTAGCTCCTCCACCATGACAGTTTCCTCTGATTTCCCCTTCTTCTGATAGGTCTTGTGCCAGTTACTGAAGAATATCAGCCACTTGGGGACTTGGAGTGCAGGAGATCTGTGTGTCCCAGGCTCTCTGTACATACATGCATTGTGATATAATCTGCTCACAAGCCTTAAACATTCACAGAATAGAACTGTAGAATCACTTAGGTTGGAAAAAGATCTTGAAGTCCAGCTGTCCTAAATGCCAAGAGCACCACTAGCCATGTCCTGTAGTGCCACATCTTCATGTACCTCCAGGGATGGTGACTCAGTCATGTGCTGAAGTGAGTGACCAGCCACGTGCCATGAGTAACAAACTACAGGAAAGGTATTTACACTGTAAAAGGCAAAACAATCCTAAATCCCTAAGGTATTTATGACTTGAGGGAACAAGTCTACACAGCTCAGCTCAATCAGGCTTCAGGAAAATTTGATTGTACCAACAGAGTGCTGCACTTTCAAGGGGATCCACTCACTCAGATCAGGCCAAATGTAAATGCAGCTGCTGTGCCTCCAGACGCAGCATGGATGTCTCTATGCCTGTGGGATAAATACACCTCTTATCTCAGACAAAACTGAGTATGCCAGGTTTTGGTGTGTGGAAACATTATCATTTTTACATTGCAGCCTCTAGATGTGTGTCTGCTGAGCTGTCTTCCCCTGGGACCAGCTGCCTGTCTCCATTATCCCGTAAGTCCTTCCATATAGCTGAGGGACTCTTCAGGTTTATTGTTTTGTCCAAAACCAGTGAAAACTGGATGTTGCTATATCCCTTGCAGGTTCAAACAGCAGAACCTCATTTGCTTCATGTAAGAACCAGACAGTTGATACTCACACAGCTTTCCATCACAATGTGAGGAACAAGGCTGGAGACACAAGCTGCCCTTGTAGGTGGAATCCACAATAAGGCCTTCATTTGCTCTTGGTTGAAATCTGTACAAATACTTAGGTTGCTGAGATTATTCAATGGTCTTGGAAAGATTTAGGGAACTGCAACAATCCTCAATGGTCTGCTTTACAAGTTAATGGCTTTCCTTTTTCCGTGTGAGCACTTACTGAGAGAAACCTAACCCTGCTCCAAGCCTTCACCTCTGATCAGTGCAGGTATCAAATGCTGGTTGGCTTAGGTACATTCTGTGCTTGTTTCTCATGCAAATGCAAACTACTATACACCAGCTGGCACCACTGCCAAATTTGTTTCATGGTTTTCATTCTGTTTTCTACCTTTTGCCTAAAAGGAGTATTATGTACGTGGAGATAAGTTTTCTGTGAGAAGATAGTGAGAGATTTATTTTCTCATACAAATTATGGAATTAGATCCATTTTGGAGTAATTCCACTGAAACCTGTACTGTTATACCAATGATAATTTAATTAGCGTATTTGCTAAAAATTATCAGTAAAAAGCTAATCTGTGTTTCAAGAGCTTTGTTAATTTTGTTAATGTTATGGTGAGGCGGATCACTTACATAATTTTCAGCAAGGCATTTACACTATTCCTAATCAAGATTAGCCAAATATCTTATACTCCAAATCAGCCCTGTGTGTGCAGGCCTGATAGGCCAAGTCCACCCTCAGGACTGAATCTGATTCTTTGAGTTTGAAGAATTAGCTTGTACACAGCCATGAGTCCTTTCTCAAGTCACAAGCCCTCTTCTGCAAGTGTCCCCTTGTTTCTGGGCTAAATATTCTTGTCAACAGGGTTGATCAGAAAGAAAGTCTCACCATAAACCCTGGTTTCTTCCTCCAGACCAAATACACACTCACACCCAGAAAGACAAAAAAATAGTGCATGTTGACACAGTGTATATTTAGATTTAGCCTTAGGAAATCATAATTAGGCCTGAATCCCTGTATGATTTGGGATGAGGCTATAAAACAGGTACCTGGAGTTAAATCTTCCTTGCTTTAAGATTTCTGATAACTAGAGGATAATCTCTAGTTAAGAGAGATCACACCAAATGATTGATGAGCTTTGCTTCTTGTTCAGTGGATTGTTCTTTAATTCAATTAAAATAACAACAAACCCTGCCCAGAGGATTTTATCTGTGTGTCCATCTTTAAGTAATCTCATTTAAATCAGAATGTGGTGGCTTGCAGGCTCACAAGAGCAGTAAGAGCAACTCCTTACAAAGCTTCAGTCTTGGTTCAGACTTGATATTTGAAATCAAGCACCAACATGGCTTTTCAACCTTTTAGGGCTTTGGATCAGCTTTTCAACCTTTGTTTAGGGCTTTCGATCAGTTTGCCAGAAGAAGTCACCCTGATCACTTAATTCTTCATGTCACTGCAGATTCACGTGCACACGACCATCACCAAGCAGCCCTCACAGTGCAGGTGCAACCGTGGCCCTGCTTTGCTCAGGTTTTCTGGCTTGAGACACTTCTTGTAATGAACGCTGTCATCAAGGTGTTCCTACAAATCTCACTCACAGGCCAGCTAAAAACTCCTTCTTGAGCATTTAGGTTTAGGTCAGGGCCACTGTGCTCTTCCATTCGATTCTCTCTTTCAGAAACTCCAAACTACTGACAACTGGTACACCTTTATTACTGTGCCACCCTGTTTGCCAAAAACTGCCTGGGAGAAGGCAGATCCACACCAAAGTCCTGCTGTGGGTGGGGCAGAATGAGGTTCTGCACAAGAGGAGTTACCAGACCATCTCTGAGGATCCCCAATGGGGCTGGGTCCCACTTTAGTGACTCAAGACATCAGAGCAGGAGTGGTTCAACAGCACACGGGACTGGGTCGGGTTTGAGACACAGTGCCCAAAGCTGAGCCTGGGCCACTTCCCATGGCAAGAGTGTTTAAAACCCATATTCTGTATAAAATAGCAGTAGTGCACCCACTACTTTTTCTGGGCCTTTCACTATAAGCTGACACAAACAGGATCTAATGAGGCACCAGAAAATCCCACCAGCTAGCCAAGACTTTCACAGGCAGCTTCATGACTGGTGGTCATACAAAGAGTAAATTTGTTTCTGTTTTCTGTGCAATGGTAAATTTTATACAATATATAGTTTAATGTTACATGTATATTACGCAGCCTTGTGTGCATTTAGTATTATATACTATTATTATGTAGCATAATGCTAAGGCTTATGGAGGAGCCTACCTAAACTCAGATTACCTGTGAGCTTTTAGAAAAAAATAAGTAAAAAAACAACTCCAAAGGTAGTATATGATCTGTTGCCACTACTTTTGTTCATTTGTATGGCACAAAAGCTTGATATTCTTAATAAGCCAATTAAGACAAGCAGCTAATTCCTATAAATATGTTTTCACTGAATTCTAGCAGGCAGCTGCACCTTCACCTCTCCAGAAATTTTACATCTTCCTAATAAACTCACAAACCAAAAAATTTTGTACCTTCAGGAGGTTTCTGTTCACTTGTTTGCAAGATCAGTAAAAAAACACTGTAGAAAGATTTGTAAAAATCAAATAGCAGCAATGCAGTCTCATCTAGGGGAAGAGAACTCCTTTTCTATAACTCTTTTTTTTTTCCTCTCACACTGGACAATACTGGCAGGTTGAGATTTAACCAGAGATGGGCTCCTTTTACAAGATTGCTTATATAAAGCGAAGATAACACCAGCTGGGTTCATTTGAAAGAGGACATCTTGGAAAGAGCTGACGGCGCTGCTTTTGGAATAACACTGGAATGAAAATCTGAAATAATTAGCACCTTCCTGTCTCGTAGGTATAACCTTTAATTTCTTGTAGAATTCATGGGATGATAATTAGAAGGAATTATCACTGATATGTACTTTAAGACCCTTTTATAAACTCATATATATTTATATTTTTTTTTTAAATAGAGGCTGAGTGAAAATGTTGAAATTGATTTGTTTTGTTAGAATTACTGAAATGGAATGATTTTTTTTCCTGTAAATTATATTTTTTACTTGTGACTTAGTCTGCTTAGTGATGTGTGTATGAGGGCTGATAATGAAGAGTGTCTTCAAAGGTAAATTAGGAGAACTGCAGTCCAAATCCCACAGGCTGTATAAGTTTTTCCCCTATGGGAAACAGCTTTCAGGTTGGAGGCCTGAAATGTAAATGTAAATAACTTCTATGGATGTTTTCCTCAGCAGCAAAGGAGAAAATACATAATTCACCAAAACTGAGCTATCTTAAGTTTATATGCACCAGAATACCAATCGTCACAGAGAATACTTTCAGCACTAAATTTTAAGCACATTATATATGTTCTAGTGTCACATTTCTTCTAGTAATTTCTATTTCCTCTTTTTTTCAAATCCCACTGTTTCAGTTTCATTTGGTTATATTAACACTTCAGGTTTAGACTATTTGCAAGAAATCAAACAAGAATAATTAAAAGCCACCACTACACTGAACTAGTAAAATTATCACAATAGTGACCTAATTATAGCAATGGTCTTTGAAATATTTACCCTGTAGTTGCAATTGGGTGACAGGATATCAGTAATGTTATTTTTTCTCTCTGCAAAAATGACATTTTAACAGTAGCTACTACAAGCTCAGGACTGCAGACAATGCATTGTTTTTATTTCCACTTTTAAGGACATTTTCAGCTTTTATTTCCTGTGTCCTCAGATCTTTGCAAGAAATGGTGACTCTTGCTATTTATCTGCTGGTCATTTTGGCTCGAGGTCTTGCAGGGCCTTGCACTCCAAATAAAGCAGGTAAAAGAACTTAAATCTCCTAAGATCTTCTCCTGTAATTAAGATGCCAAAGGGTTTTTTCATTCAAAATCAAAAGGTTTTCCTTCAGAAAGTTAAACTGTGGATTCTGTAGAGCTAATCCTTAAATTTCTTTTATTGACCTGCTTTGAGCTAGCACAGTAAAGAATGTTCCATACAAGTCCTAACCCCACAAAGAATTAGGCATGTAGCAAATTCTGTGCAATAACCATAGTGCAAGAAAGTTAATCACAAAAGCATAAAGTAACAAAGGGAACAAAAACAATTAGAAATTTTCTGTAATAGTACAGGCTAGATGCAGCAGATCTTTGCTGCCCAAACTGGGCTTTAGTCCCACAGACTACAGTCAGATTGTCAGACCTGTAAAACAGATTTTACTACAATTACAAAATGTGGTCCAGAAATGTGTTGGAATATGCCTCAATTTAGTGTTTGCTTTTAGTGCATGACTGCTGTCAGATTGCTGTCAGTCATTTCATGGTACATCTAAAGTATTTGGCCCTCTGGCCATTTATTTCAGTACCTTTATTTGCACAAGCAGTTTCTCTTAACTGCAGGAATTTTCATAGCTCTAAAGTTGCCAGTTTTAAATCTGAGCATTAACACAAGCAGAATCAGCTTGCATGTGCTCAAGGTTTGTTAATCAGAAAAACCAAATTGTTAATGTCTCTACTTGACTTTCCCAGATTATTCCCCAGCAGACATGGAAAGGCTGCAAAATGAGGCTTTTAGCATAAGAAATAAGAGTGGCAAGGGCTTTGAAAAAAGTAACTGAGTAATTCCAGGGAGGGTACCTTTTTTCTCACTGTGGTAATTGGAAGTCTTCCTCAGTTTTCAGGTCACTAATGGTTAGTCAATATTTGCCCTTAAAATTTCCATCGGATGTTCAAATTAGCTGTGCCTGTGAAAAATATCCAATTCTGCTGTCATGAAGGTATCAGTCTGTCTGTCTGTTATGATGTTCAGCATTCATGTGTGCATTAGCAATCACCATGTTTGGAAATACACAGCTCTGCTGTTAACAGGGCTGGGAGTTTGGGTCATTTCCTATTGTTGTTAGCAGGCCTAGGTTAAGTTTTAGAACTTGGCTTTTGACTTGACAATTGGAAAAATTCAGTTTGTGCTGGATTTATAGTGCCAGTCCAAGAAAAGAAAAGGCAGAATATCTATTGCAGCCAAGATTTATACACCAGTACAAAACAGTGCAGATCTACAAAGCCAACCAAACAACCTAACCAATATTATTTTTACAGAGTCAGTGGTGTTGCAGAAGCCAGCTTTGCAGCATAAGTTAATGAGACATTTTCAGTGCAGTCTTTTTTTAACTTCAAGTTTCTCATCAGTGTCTCTGCTTTTCAATTGGCTATTCCAGAAAGATAAAAAATTCTCACAAAGTTCTGCATTGATTAGAAGGCAAAGGCTAAACTCTTCCAAAGAGGACAGAATTTAACAACCTAAAGGTCTGTTTTGTGTAGCAAAAGCTGCTGTCATTAGGGGACCTTCCAGCACACATCCCTGTTCACAGAAGGTTAAGCCAAATGGAAAGTAAATGGGGGTCCCACCTCTTTGAAAGGAAATTACTACTGAATAACTTCAGGTATATCATTTTCCTTCCAGATGTAATTCTGGTATACTGCTATCCTAAAACCATCATTACCAGAATTCCAGAGTGTCCCTATGGATGGGAGGTTAATCAGCTGGCACTTGGAGGCATTTGCTACAATGGGATCCACGATTCAGGATATTACCAATTCACAATCCCAGACCTGTCACCTAAAAACAAATCATACTGTGGCACACAGTCAGAGGTAAGACTATGAAGGTCAGCATTTCTGACTCAGGAAATGGCTGCACTCACTTGAGAGAGTCCTGTCCTCTTCATCTTGAAGTAACCTTTAGGGTACCAATGGAAGAAGGAGCCAAACTGCAGAGTCAAGGAGAAGGAAGAATCACACAGCTGTGCTTTGCAGTTCCAGGCAAAATACTCACAGGCTTAGTGATATTAGTCTGCTGTTCACCTGCACCTGTGTTACACAGAACTTATGTTTAGTAAGGCATATGAATAGGCAGCACAGCATATAAAGAGCTACCAAGCCAATTTTCCTTGGGGAGCCTGTTTTGACATCAGAGTGTTCATGTTTCATAGTTTATTCCTGATGCCTCAAGGACTCAGTACTGCTCACATTTCTCTGTCTCACCATTCACAGTTCAAGAATCCCATATACCACTTCTACAACTCCATCGTCTCCAATGACTCCTCAGTGATTGTGAAGAACCAGCCTGTGAATTACTCATTCACCTGCTCATACAATGCCAACTACCTGGTGAACCAGGCTGCCTTTGACCAAAGGTATGTCCTCTCCTGGGAGTGTGTCTCACCCTGTCCTCATTACCATGCCTCACTCATGCAGAATTTTGTCCTGTCCCCAGGGTGGCCACTGTCCATGTGAAGAACGGGAGCTCCGGCTCATTTGAAAGCCAGCTGTCCCTCAACTTCTACTCTGTAAGTGCTCTTTGCCACTCACACCTTCACCTTTACCTTACAAAGGCTCAGCCAAAGGGCTGGAAAAAACAGGGCAGCTGCTCCTAACTTTTATGTGTCATGGAGCACATTACTAGCCTGGAACAGATAATTGCAGTGGGATTGGCAGGGGTTCTTGTTTCTGCTGATTAACAGGGATATACTTAAAGTGAACTGAGCAGACTCATACCAACTGTTCTTTTAATCCCTCAGAATCAGACAGATTTTTCTGCTGAGAGGTACATTTCTAACCTGCTGACAGGTTTTATAAGAAAAATCAAAACTTGTGTGTAGTCCCACTGCAAGAGCAGCATGCATCCGCACGTACTGCTGGCCTTGCATGGCCTCTATAGACACAGCAAAGCTCCCTGCATTTCTCTTGCAGCTTTCTCCCTGATCCTCTCACCTGACAGATATTTCATGTACCCCACAGATCTTTAGGTCATGCTGGAATTTTGTTGCCAACAAAATATTGTCCCTTGATATCAGGCAGATCTTTTGAAGACTCCCTCTCCTCTCTGCAGCTTCGCTGCACTGCTGGAGCAGCCAGCTCCTAATCCTGGAATCTTTTCTCCACAAAAGCACAGGCAAAAGCTCCCAAACAGCCTCTCTATTTTAGCACAGCAAGAAAAAGCACAACTAGGAACATACTGTGTTAAAATTATAGGCCAGGTAAAAGGAGTATTTTCCACTAGATAAGCCAATGCTAGGACTAAATCTGATGCTCTTTGTACAGTTCTGGTGCTAGCTTTGTTATCATCTTACCCAACAAGAAGCATTGGGATTTAAAGTAGGCATTTCAGTGTATTTGTAACAAAAACTTTTCACCTGAGCACCCCACTGCTCCATGTTCAGCAGGCTGGCTTTTTTCTTGTGACTTCTGCTTGTCTTCCTTCCTTTTCTCCAACACGTGGCCATGTCCCAACTCCATTCCCATTCTGCACACTCACCTTCACTCTCACTCCCACCAGCTTCTCCCACCACCACAAGCAGCAGCAGCAAGCTTGCTCCCCACTCCCTCTGTGGGAATATATGCAATACATGCTACAACCCAAACAGCATTAAGTTCTCTCACTGATCATCATTTTACACCAAATATTAATCAAAATATTTTTAAACATCATCTTGGTTTGCAATAGTCCTACTACCAGTGTAGAGTTTGGAGGTTGTAGGTTATAAGAACCCAGGTTTCTGGGGTCAATCTCTCCAGTGGTGTCTGAAGCTTAATGATGCCTTGCTTTGTATGTTACAAATAATGTATGATGACTTTGTCTTTGTCTTTCAAAGAATGCCAAGTTCTCAAGTATAAAGGAAGCCCCCTTTGTGGTTGAAACATCAGAAATTGGTTCTGACATATTTGCTGGAGTGGAAGCCAAGGGCTTAAGTGACAGGTAGGCAAAGGAAGGAGGAATGAGTAATAAACTGGCAATTGGGACATTCCTTGCTAATCTGGGGTTTGTATCTCCCCAGGTTTAAAGTTGTTCTCAACAACTGCTGGGCAACTCCCTCCTCAGAGTATTTCTACCAGATCCACTGGCCTTTGATCACCAAGGGGTAGGTGCTGGTGGGACCCAGGGGAGCACCTCAGCCCAGCCCTGAGGATGACTGGAAAGCTGGTTGTGGGGGTATAAGGGAGCAAAGGAAAAGCTGGCCCACAGCAGGGCAAATGCTTTCATCAGATGTCACCTCAGGAGATGTCTCACTGAAGCCACGGGGGCTCTGACACTGCTTCTCCCCACACAACACAGGTGTGCCACGGACTACTCCATCCTAGTGCACGAGAACGGCAAAACGAACCGGGCCACGTTCCAGTTCAACGCCTTCCGCTTCCGCAACATCCCCAAGCTGTCCAAGGTCTGGCTGCACTGCGAGACGCACATCTGTGACAGCGAAAAGTTCTCCTGCCCCGTGGTAAGGCCTCCCTGCTGGAGAAACACACGGTGCCACCTTCAGGCAGAGGATGGCCAGCCCTTCCCCAGGGTTTGCAGGAGCAGAGCCAGAGCCAGGGCTCTCAGCAGATGGAGGCAGGCACTGTGTGAGCCCAGCTGGGCAGCCCAACCTCTGTCATGCCACAGGCAACACTGGGAAACTTGTTTAAATGTATGGTAAATAAGGCAGCCATTGAAAAACTCAACTCCTGCTCATATCCCAGACTACAGTCCTGTCTGACAAACAGCTACAGTTAAACACAAGCCTGGAAAAAAGGAGAAAGTTGAGCTTTTTCCATTTTACCAAGTATCTTGGTGCTAAGAGCAGCCTCAGGGCAGTGGGAGTCCCAAAGCTCCCAGTCCCCCTTCCCAAGGAAAGTCCTCCCTGCCATGCTGCAATAAGTTATTGCTCTTGCAGACATCTACTCTGCATAAAATACATAAATTGTCTCTGGAGGAGGAACTGAGGTAGAAGAGTGGATTCCTGTATCCTTAGATGGGAGCATGGTGAGGGTGCTATACAGGCACATAATTTAACAAGGGCAGGTGCCCATAAAATGTCTTTCTTTCTCCACCCTTGACCAAGTCAGAGCTTTGCCATTCTTTCTCTCATGTAATGAAATAGAATTTTATTTAACCTGAAATGAAAGCACAAAATACTCCTTGGCCAACATGCTGTCATTTCAATAAAAAATGTTTCTTGCTGAAGAAGAGAAAGCATGACTCCTGATGACCCCAATTTTTCTTTCTAACCCCTTTCTCAGTCCAGGAGCAAATTAAGGCAGCATTTTGTAATATACAGCCTCAATGCTAAGCAGGAGGAACTGACTTGTGCACAAGTTGCAAGTTTGACAAAAGCACATTGTTAGAAATTTTAAGTTTCAAAGGCAACAGAAAACACAAACCCATTACTTCATATGTGCCCCTCTGGCAGTACTGTCAAACACCTTCATCATCCTTTCAGGCACTGTGTGGAATCCCCACCTCACCCTCCAGTGCAGGATAATTGCTCAATCAGGCAACATCCCTTGAGTCCAGTTCCCACTCAAAAATGCAGCTGGTGGTCTCCTGCAATTAAGGTTGAACCAAGCTGGTGGTCTGTGCTTACAAGCAACTCATAACCAGAATTACTACATGCTGAGTTAGTAATAAAAATGCCCACAGCTGGGGATCTGCAAAGGTCAGAGAGATGCACAAGGACCTTTAATCTGCAGAGCACTGCCTCCAATACAGACTTTGTCAGCTGTGACAGGCATCATTAGTGCTGGACATGAGCTGATCAATTTGGAAAGGATTTGGTGCTTCCTGTTTCTACCCAATGGACAACAATTACCATGAGCAATAAACAACCACAGAAGCCTTCACAGGGGTCAGGGGTTAAACAGATGGAGCTCAATTTCCCTCTTCTTGACAGGAGTTTTGTTTAAGGCAGGGTGGGAAAGCAGCCCACCAAAATCTTCAGAAAATTAACTGTAAGGCTCTCTTCAAATCTCTTCTGCACTAAAACCCCCAATAATTACAGGCAGGAAAAAAAAAAAGTCCCTAGAAAATATGCAGCAATTTCCTTGGTTGGAAACATAAGAATTGTGTCTGTGGGGTTTTTTAATGATTTTTAATTGTTTTGGTTTTCTGTCTGCTCTCTTGAGATATGTGACAAGCGAGGGCAGCGCGCGGAACAAACCGGAGGCGTTCTGGTGGCGGAGATCACCGTGCGCAGTAAGTGCCGGGGCTCCTGGGGTGCTTCTCCCTTTGGGAAGACAGGAAACTGGCAGAGAGGAGCAAGCAGAGAGAGCCACAGCCCTCTGCCAGACCCCTGTCCCCCGGGGCAGCAGAAGCCTTGAACAGAAGCTGGTCCCCTCCAACTCTGGCAGGAGAGCTCAGTGACATTCTCTTCGCTTGCCAAGTGAGTCAGGGCAGCCCTTTGGCATTTATGATAAATGGCCAAACCACTGGCACACAGAGCTGGCAGTGAAAGCTCTGCTCACCTGCCTGTGACCTCAGCAGCAGCTCAGACACGCTCTGGCAGGTTGCAGGGGAGTGGGAGAGAGGTCAGGAGCAGCAGGAGAGTTTTTCTTTACACTGTGGGTCTGTATTTCAGCACATCCACAACACCTTCATGTGTTGCAGGGATGATTTGTGCCTATCCCTCCTGACACACTGATGGCACTGCCATCGGCCTTCCCCACTGCAGAGCAACTGCTCCCTCCAACTGCTGCCTCCTGCAGGCACCTGGGATTTCTCTCTGAGCTGGTACATCTTTTGAAACAAGTCCTTGGAACAAACAATGTTTTTACTGGAGCCCTTTATACTAGTTTATCAACTGCACCAATCTGAAAGCCAATTTAAAATTACAAATACAGACACAGTAGAATTATTACAATCCATTATGTCGCACCAGAAAACCCCTATCAATGTTAGAAGGTAAAAGAACTGAGGATCCTTTTATAACTTCAAACAGTAAATCCAAGAGGAAGAAATATTCAGAATTTCAAAACATGACAAATGTTTCCTGTTCTTTAACAAAACACACCGGTGCACTTTGCCCTGTTTTAATCATCATCCTGATGTAATTATTTTCTTCCTCTTTTATACAGGCAAAGGTTTATCCAGATTTTACACACTCTCAGGTAAACAGCAAAGTATGACAATGAAAGTATCAATCCCAAATATGCATTTTGAGTGTCTATGTCAACATAAAATCCATAGCTCAAAGAAAAAAACTGAAATACCAGTAAATTTGACAGAAGAGTAAATATTTCAAAATCAGACTTTATTTCCTGGTGTAATATACTTTGTTTTCCTTTTTTTTTGGTATATCCCTCACACCAGACAATAAAATCATAGCAATTACTTCCAATACAGAACAATCTTCTTTCTCCAATTGTCACACCCCCTTCCCAAAAAGGAACAATCATGTTTTACTGGGTTAACAGGGGTGTCTGAAAGCATTTCTGATTGGAAAGGCTTTGAAACACACCTTTCAAAGTCCATTTGTTAACATTTGATATGTTGACAGAGCCACATTAGGGCCTGCAGTTTTATTGAATGGGGTGGGAAGAGAAGGTGAAAGGGAGCTGACAGGGAAGTACTCACATGTAGCCTGTGTTTTTCTTGCAGATGTCATCTTCCACCTACTTTTTGTGATTGGATTTTCTGCTGTTTTATTATAAAATGCAGCCCAGCTGTACTTTGGAACTTTCCTTGATCCTGTTTGGACCTGGACTTCTTTACTAAAGAAGTTTATTTTACAGAGGAAAAAGGAAAGCCACTAAAAATCCTTGTGCACCATTTTACCAGATAAATAAAACATTCCATGAGCTTTGTGCCTCAAATTCTGGAAAATCCCAAAGCAGATTTGCTTCTCACAAGGCTCTGCTGGCATTTTGAACTAGCGAAAACCCTTGGGTTATGCCAATGCCTCCTTGTAAAAATCTGCGATGGCAATAGGACTTGTTCCTAAAGAGAATATAGGGATGTGAAAACTCAGCATTTTTCAGTGCCAAATTTACCTTCAGGGTCTCCCTTCCCTGCCAGTCTCAGTGTGGTACCAAACTCCCCTCCAGGCCTGGTCTTGCAAAGTCCCAGTTTGTTCTGTGAAGTCTTGCAACAAAACAAAAACGAGCCTAACATGTCAAGGATGGGAGGAAAGGGTTCTTTTCATGTAGCAGTAATTAGAAGGGGCTCAGAGTTAATTACCTGACATTTCTTTCCTGATTCTCAGCGTTGTCAGTATTGATTGCTTGGATTAAGTAGAGCACACTGTAGGAGTAGGATGTCTTGCTGACTGGACAGGCTCAGTGCTGGATGGTGACATGGTGTGGGAGCATATTGAGCACATCTGAGGTTGGAAAACAAGCTAATGAGCCTTGCACTTCCTTGAAGACATAGCCAGGGGCAGACACAGCAGGGTCCAGGTGTTAGGTCTGTACCTGAGCAACAACAGCAAGACAAAAGCAGTGGAAAGGGAAATAATGATTTATAAATAGCAGGAAATGTCAGGACATTAAACAATTCCCCAAAAAGCATAACAGTAGGTTCCTTACTTCCATTAGTTACTTGAACAATATTGAACAAAATCCTTGAAAGTGTCAGAAATATCCTTAGAATTTTTCCATAAAACTTCCAAGATCCTAAATGTGAAAGAGGGAAGAATGATTACAGTTGTTACACTTCCAATTAATGAACACGGTGGGTGTACCTGTGTTTGCATACACTGAAGCAAAAGAGCATTACAGATTTTTTTACTATCGTTTGTAGAGAGGGAGCCTCCTGAATAACTGTGAAGGATTTTCAGCTCCCTGATAAAGCTCATTGTAATGAAGATAACGCAGAGCTCGAACACGCATCCATTAGACCCTAGCGGTCAAATAAACACATTTAGTGCATTTCCAGGGGCTCCTTTCGCTGCTCCCGGCGCAGGCTCGGTCCGCGGGCGCTGCCGGGGGCGGAGGGCGCGGGGAGCGGGCGCCGTTCCCCGCCGGGCACAGCAGAGGGCGCTGCGGCACAGCGGCTCCACAGCACGGTCTGACCGGCATGATCGCCCCTCAGGCTCCGGGCCGCGTTTGCTGCATTACCTCCCTCTCCTCTGCTTCCTCCCTCTCCTCGGCTCTCCTCTTCCTCCTCTGCTCTCCTCCTGTCCGCCGTGCCCGCTGCTCCTCAGGACATTCTGACCGGGATAATAGCCCTGCAGGCTCTGGGCCCGCGTTTGCTGCATTACCTCCCTCTCCTCTGCTCCTCTCCCGCTGACACCCCGCGTTTCAGCACCTCCGAGCGGCGTTTGCCTCTTCAAATTCTTGTCCTTCCCCAAAGCTTGTTTCTTTTGCCTTGCTTTTACAAAAGTCACTGCACAGCTGTCACGGCTGTTTTGTGCAGAAAGACCTGGCAGGTTGGTTCATTCCTTTCTGGTTATGCAAGAAGTGTGGCTTTGGAACCAACCGTGCAGGATTTCAGCAGCTCTGGATGCGCCTGTGGATTCCCAGGACGCTCCCACCGGCCGTGGGATGGAGCCTGTGGCACACACATCTGTCCCTGTGACACATCTGTCCCTATGGCACACACATCTGTCCCTATGGCACACACATCTGTCCCTGTGGCACACACATCTCCTGCCCGTGCTCCTGCACCAAGTAGGGATCAGGGAGCCCTCCTGTCTGTTTTGTCTGCATCACTGTCTCCCTACAGTCCAGAAATGGTTTATTGCCAAAACCAATCAAAACAACTGAAAAACAGCTGCCAGAGTTGATTGTGGAAAGGTCTATCTGCCAGAGAAAACAACAACACATGAACAGGTTTCAGCTCAAGCAGTACTGCTCCATAAGAAAGCAAAAGTTGTCCATCCTAAATAGTTTGCATAAAAAAAGTATCCACCTTTTATTTTCCTAACCTAGCATATGGCTCATCACTACTTGTTCTAGTAAACAAGTAGTGTTTAGTTAGTCGATTTATGTTGCCTGTATCAGAAAATGCAATGACTGCTAAAGATTTTAGTGCAAGATGAAGTTTGATTGACTTCATCATTTCAGATGGACTAAAATCCAATCTTTTCTAGTCAGGGCATGAAGATGCTTGCCTTGATCTCTGCATCTGAAAGCCAAACACAAGTCTGCCCATGGAAACATAGGGAAAGGAATATTATTTAGAGAGGATGCAAATAATCTGTTTGGAACCCAACATTTGTCTCCACAAAGATTCCAGCTGGGCTTTGTCCCAGTTCTTCCTTCCATTTAGATGAACTCTAATGAGACATGAATTTCTGCATGCTTCCTTCCCACAGTTTGGCACTGCAATGCTGAAGCACAAGGTCACAGAGGTCATGACAAGAAGTAGGAGAGAAATGAACACACACAGGCATCAAGATGATAACAACACAGGTTGCAGCACAATGTTGCCAGTACAGTGACACACTTTACACAATATTTTCTTCCTTAAATGGAGGTTCACTTCTCACTTGCAAATGGTAAACAGCATTAACCTGGGTGGCCTTGATTTGATAGTCACTGAAGATGCAAATAACAATTCAGAAGAGGTCCAACAAAAACTGCAAATGAAAGAATGAGTCAAATCTTACACAAAATGAGCAAGAATGCCACAATGCAAGCTGGTACCTCCCATTGTGGACAATCTATCCTTAGTATTCCCAAACAAGCATTACTATTGGCAATCACAATTACTATTGTGATTCCTGTCCTGCCACCCCATGCTCAATAGTGAAGAAGGAGCAAGTACCAAGACTGTCAAGTCAGAATTAATAACGTTCAGTCATTAATGCCTCATATCCTGTACTTGGATCTCACAATTTCAAATGCAAACTTTAGAATTAAACCTCAGCAGGTATTTGCTGGGGGACATGGACATGATCCTGCTGCAGAGATGCCAGGCTGGGTCTGACCTGACATGCCCACCTTGTGCGACCCCTGCTAGGGCTGCCCTGTAAGGAGGGAAGCACATCAGGGCTGAAAGCCTTTCTGTAGGGGATCTCAGCTCTGAGATACACACACTGAGGCAAACAGTGCATGTGCTGCCAGAATTGGCAATACATTACACAATATAAACACAGGCAATGCCCCAGATCCAGATCCATGTATAGAAACTCTCCAGTCTTAATCTTCAATTAAATACCAACTTTATCTCTTTATTCTGTAAATCCATGACATTTTGTTTAAATGTCCAGGTCAGGGACAAGGAAAAACCCTACCTCAGAGCAGTATCATGACTCACTACATCCAAAACACATCATAGATGTACATGGTCTGTATGAGGAGTGAACCTCTCACTCTGCACTGAAGATCAAGTCTTTTCAAGTTATTCCCATCCAAAGAGCAGCTCACAGGTGCAGGGGAAAAAAAAAGCTATTGATGGATTGGACCCCATGTCCCTTTCATGTAGCATATCGCTGCAACCCTACAAAGGTCAAGTTCAGTGGCTTCTGGGAAATAAATAGTAATTCTTGCAGCCTGGCAGTCAGGCACACAAGGCTGAGAAAGGTGTCCTGAGCTCTATCTGAAGCCACATTGCACTGAGAAGCAGACACCAGCCCTACTTTCCAATATATTTTTCTTAACTTTGTTGTTACTGGGAAAACCTAGAACATACCTCTTTAAAAATTACCTTAGATATGCTCTGGTTCTAGTAGGTATTAGAACCTAATAGGTATATTAGAACCTATTATGTATAAGGTTCTAAGAGAAATATTGTGAGATTCCATGGTATGAAACCCACCTGCAATACAAACTGCTGCTCTGGGGTGCCACCAGTCTCCAGCCTTCCCAGATTGCTTTCTGGCAGCCTGTGCCTCCTCCCCTGCTGAATTTTCCCTGCATGTGGTCTCATCCACATTAACACCCTCCTCCCACAGACCACCTTTCTCTGAGAATTTACACTGTGACACAAAGCATCCACTGGAAGGGATCCTACCCTGTTGCTCTTCTGCTTACACTCACCTGCTCCAAACAGAAAAATAACATCAGCATTTTTCTTCTGGGAGCAAGCACATCAACATACCTCAGACACAATCAGGATGTATATTAAATTAACTTTATCATAAAAGACAGTCCACAATTGGTAGCAGTAACATGGCCCTAAAATGTGTTTTGAGAAGATCTTGAAGGTTTAAATTTCATTCTGCTTTTCCATAAGCACATTCTGCAGAGTGCAAATGATGCAGTAAGGCATGATAGGAAGTGGGGTACATAGATCCTACAGCTTGGAGAGCACTAAAGCTGAGGCCTAATGCTAAAGCAAAGGTCTAATGCTAAAACAGACATCTTATCACTGTGAAATGTTTGCCCAGCACTATAAAATTACATGGTGATTAATCAGTGCTGATAAGAACATTCTGAGCACTTCTTACTGTCTCCATGTCCAACACTTCTGTGCTAGCACCTTACAGTGAATACTTCAAAGTACTCTAGGACCAGTAACTGTTTAATCTCGAAGATTTAATCTTCCCTTTACAAACTGAGAAAATCTGACATGTAAAGAACATCATGAGCAGGCCATGGCAGGGGGACATATCAAATTGGCACTCATTCCAGTAGAGGGGACTGTTAGTGGACCAATATAATATTAATCAAGGAAAAATAGGCAGATAGATCTGATACTTCTGAGAATGAGTTGTGAAGTGAGAAAGCTTGCAAATTTTGCATTTATTTTATCTGCATTGGAAAGAGAAAATCCATGTATACAGAAAATCAATACAATAAATTCAAGGCTCCTGATATGCAATTTATTATGCACCTGGTGACACACAGTAACAAATCACAACTATAGCTAACATAAAATAAAACTCAAAGGTTAATAACCTGGGAGGAAGCTTACATCAACACTTTTTCCCCCACATTTGAGCTAGGTGTGACACTGTGCCTCAGAGGGTGGCAGTCCTTACCCTCCACTGTACCTGGACCCTCACCCTCTGCCAGCCAGCCAGACCTGGGCTGTTGGCTCGTGTGAAGGCCAACAGTGCAATTCCAGCTCCTGTCTGGCTACACTGCCTATCTCTAAAGGAATCACAGCACTCAGAAATTTCTCAGACATAACAGATATTTCCTCAGTGCTGCTGACCCCACTGGGGATGGGGAGGCTGCGCCAAGAGGAACATTTCCTCTTTGTAAAGCTTCACAGGCTTTCTGCAAGAGCTAGTAAGAAATAGAAATCATCCTATAAACAACTAACAGTAAGGACAGAGTCCACAGAGATTTGGAAACACTATTGTCTTTGGGAACCACATAAAACCTTAAAACCAGACTGCTTTTGACCAAATGTTCACACTATTTACTGTTAAAACCCAAATATACACCAAGGTGAGCTTCCAGCGAATGCAGCAGAGGTCCTGTCAGAGCATGTTTATAAAGTTACTTGTGCTACTCATTGCAGAGGGCACACAATTCTGACAGAATGTCAGAGAAAGACATTGTCCAGCTTTACTGTCTGA